TCTCTAGTGTAAATGTGGTATCTGGCTATCGATCTAATGGTGTGTGTACTAGGCAGCAATTTTCTCTCACCTTCTTTATAGATGTAATGCATGGCTATTGAATGTGGAAGGCATGAAGAAGCTGGCTTTCTTTGACTATAGGTGCTTATTACTTGAAGTAATATTGAAGTTGGGTGGATAGTGTTATGTAGGGAGGACAAGTCAATCTTTGGAGTTGTGAAGCTGTATCGACCAAGATGGCTAATGTATGTGTTACTCATGCCAAGGCCCCACCTTCCTCACCGAGCAGTGTTAGATGATATCAGATGGTTGCAGGCAATCGGCCACGGGAAGCCTCACCTAACCTAGGCTTCGTGCTAGTTGGCACTGACCAGTCAGTCAGCAAGGCGTATCTGCAACTGCCTCGAAGGAACTCATGTCTGCCCCCTTCTGAGATTCGAACCCGTGTAACCATCCAGTACTGCAGTCAGAGACGTTGAGGTGGAAAATGGTTGACGGTTGTTAAATCAAAACATTTCTCACTGTTACAGGATTCCATCATGAGCTGACATCGGTTAGAGAGAAAACCATTAGAAAACCTGCAGGGGGTACTGCCAGACAGCTGTTTCGTCCTAGTTTGGGACTCTTCATCAGTACGAACCCAGGATTTTCTGGCTACAAGGGCGAGCTAGCTAGCTCGTAAACCATTAAGCCACTGTTGTCGGTTCTAGCCACATATTCAGGTGTATACTGACTGAATACGATCCTCGAGATGCTAAGCTCCAATAGTCGGCAATTGGTGGTAGTAGGTGAGGTAGTTAACAATCTTTCGCGTACACTTCCACTCCGTCGTATAACTAAGTTCTCACTAACTAATTAATTCTACAGAGGAGATATTTTCTCAGCTTTTTTTTGAAAGAGTGTTGGAGCCATTGACGATGGAATAATGGTGATATTTACCAATGTCTATGTGAATATTGACTGTTTAAGTTGGTCTGGTTTGGATACGTGCTATGCGCATATATGCACACTACACAACGTCTACTACTCGATCATTTCTGTTATCTATCTAGTGGATTAGTGCTTTAATAAGCGCTTAAAAAAGCATTCATGGAATTTGTTTGTAGCAGTAAACACATACACACACTGAGAGAGCCAAAATCTTGTTAAAATTTCAATCTATCATTTCTTTTTTTATTATCTTTTTTTTATTATTGCAAAAAAACGAGTCAATCATGCGTTAGTTCTTATTTTAGAAAATCAGAAATAACTCAGTATTATTATTATTATTATTATTATTATTATTATTATTATATGCAAGTGTTTTTATGTAGGTGCACAATTCACATTATTTCTCCAGTAGACAAAGGCACACACATGCACACATACACACAAAAGCACATAGATTTACTGTAATACTCATAGGATTTACAATAAAAACTGTGTGCATACACCAATATGGCATATATATATAGAGCTTGTGGATTTCAAAATTCTCGCATTTTTTATCGATCGGATTTATTTGAAATGATATTGACAAGATATGCTGTACTATCTAGCAATATGACTAATTTTAGCTAACGGAGATATATATCTAGGGTTCAGATGTCGTCCTACTTGGGACTCGTCAGCTGGGTGTACCTGCATTCTACTCAGTGTGATGGTGTTCTGGATAAGGATGTACTACTGAGCAATTCTTCCCACAAACTGGAAGATATGCAAGCCAAAAGCAATAAGTTGGCAGAAGAAGCATCAAAGATAGGAAGGATTTCAGATGAACAGCAACAACAACAGACAACGATCAGCATAAATGGAAGGAACCTGAAAGAAACAACCTCTTTTACCTACCTACCTGGGAAGCATCGTTTCAACTACAGGCCAGCGGAACTGACGAAGATATCAAAGCGCGAGTATCGGAAAAGCAAGACAAGCTTTCACTACTCTCAAGTCCGTGTGGAGGTCAACAGCACTCAGCATCAAAAATAAGATCCGAATTTTCACCACCAATGTGAAGTCAGTGGCACTTGCTGTACGGATCAGAGACTTGCACTGCGCTTCATAAAGAGCATCTCAAACAAACTACAGACCTTCATTAACAGCTGCCCTCGCTCAATACTCAAGATGAGATGGCCGGCCAGAAAAGATCAGCAGCAGAGATCTCTGGCAATGAGCGAACCAACCAGGAACCGATTGTGAAACAAATAGGCAGGAAGAAATGGAGATGGATTGGCCATACTCTGAGGAAACCATCAAGTGACATCACTAGACAAGCCATTGCTCAAGTGGAACCCGAAAGGGAAGCGGCGAGTTGGTCGTCCAAGGATGACTTGGAGGAGGTCATGTGAAGGAGAGATGAAAGCGTGTGGGCAGACTTGGAGCCAGGTGAAAACGTTGGCAGAGAACCGAACGTAATGGAGACGCACGGCTGAAGCCCTATGTTCCTCTAGGAATTAAAGGAAACAATAATAATAATACTGAGCAATTACCGTTTCAAATTTAAAAATCTTTTCAGCTCGCCACATTTTGCAAGACAGGCATAATTTAATACTATTTATTAATTTTTCTGGATCTAGCTGTTCGAAATTTAGGGATGATGGTAGAAGATGAGAGACTTGGTAAAGGAATGTTTATTTATGGAATTATGTACACCTTATCATCTTCAACGCGCCATTTGCACAGATCTTCCGTGTTGTGCCTGCTACTTCTGCCGTTCTTCCTTCATACTATGTTTGTGTTTCATTGTGTTCCTTTTATCATGTCTCTCATATTTCTCAGCAACACTGTATCGTTTGCTTCTTCCTGCTAATTGATGTTTTTCGTACCGACGATAGTCTCTTCACACATACTACTGATAAATTTTATCAGTGATATTCAAGTATTGGTATGTAGAGATTGTGTTTGATTTACTATACTATAATATATATATATACTTCCTGCCAAATTCTATCGGCTGATTTTCGATAATGTCACACATATATTTTTTAGATGTTATGCGGCTAAAGACAGCCAACCAATAAAGTGATATAAAGAGATCTTGGAATCACAACTAGAATTTCAAAGTTTCTATCTCACTTATCACTAATTCCAATTTTATTATTATTACTTTTGATATTAGTATAAAAATTGGGTACTGTGGTGGTAGAGTATAACTCCATTATAGATAAGACTGTATTTTGAAAAAAATTACACAGTGTTGTTATACAGTTATATTTACTGATGATGTTTCGACCACAAATCATTGCTGCTCATAATCATATCAAGTCACTCACTCACACAATTTTCTTGCTTCATTTATATACATGAGTAAAACTGATGACTAGACATTTGAATAAAATCAGTATAAGCTAAAGTACATTCAGAAATAATATCACTGTTATCAATCAAATACAATCAGATGGGAAATAAGATGTTTTTATAGTAAAAATAAGTAAATAACTTTTCACAATGTTATTTTTTTTCCTTCACCTTCCCCAGTGGAACAGAAGGCTTCAAGCTAGTGGCTTGAAGTTTCTGTAGCAGTGTTTATTTTACAGCCAGCCTCATGCCCAACCTTTCCTCTTCACCAGCATTATTTCTGGCTTAGCGAGGTAAAGGAGTGCGTCGGTGGCCGGGGACCGAACCCCGGACCAAGTGCATGGTCGGCGAGCGTCCTAACCGCTATGCCGCCAACGCACTTACAATGTGATAACGTATGTGAATTGAAATAGAATTTTAAGATTATTTATTATCCCCCTCTGATTTGACTGGTGGTAATAATATCTTCCATACATTTCTCTGGTAATTGCATTGAGTCATTTGCGTTGCATATGTTGGGTGTAGGTAGACTCGATGAACCAGGATTCAGTAATCGACCTCCCTCTAACTCTCCACCTGCCTACCTATATTAATCTTTAGAAGTTCGACTCTGTTCCAAGCATCCTATTGTGTGGTTGTGTGTTAATGCATGCAGTGCAATGTAGTGCTGAGCTTTTTTCCAAATTACTTGTCTTCGTGGGTGGGGTCAATCATTCTAACTTTAGCTAAATTCTTATGTTCTGACAGGCAGTCTGACTACACCTGATCTACTGGTTTGACTGACCTACGTAGCTGACTTATCTCACAGTCACTGCAAGGTATTTTGTAAATTATATTATTTTGTCTAATTGGGTCAATCTATAGGGTCCCTTAACCTACAGAGCTTGTCCTATCTGAGTGAGTGAGTGAGTTTGCATGTTTAAATGCCACCACGCTAATTCCTGGTTTATTGAGAATCCTACCTAGGCTATCAGATGTCCCCTCCTAATATATTTGTGCTCGAAATGTGGTCATCAGTTAATATTACTGTACAACAATGTGTGTGATTTATCAAAATAAAATCTTAGCTATAATGCAGTATCATTACTTTTATTTGATTTCTTTGATTTCTCAACAGGGATACAGAACTTCCAGCTAAAACTTTAAAATATCAGTAGCACTGGTGTTTATTTTCACGGGAGGATGGATTTGCCACAGCCCTTCCCTCTTAATCGGGCTTTCTACCGGCTAATGGCGAGGTAAAGGAGTGCGTCCGTGACTGGGGATCGAACCCTGAACCACTTGCATGGTCGGCCAATGTTCTACCAGTGAACCACAGGCGTGCACACTAATTCTCATTAACATAATTAAAATATTTAATTGATGGATAGTGACTAGCAGTGGAATCCAGTCAGGATGCGCATTTCGTCCTATTTGAGACTTGTCATCTGGATGTATCTGCATTTCTCAGTGAGTGATGATTTCCCCACCGAGGCTCGAACCCAGTGCCCATGGTTTCAAACGCCAAAACGTTATCCACTAAACCACTTGGGCCACGAGAGCCACCTCTTGTGCAACGGGTCATATTGATTTAATTGAGACCGAGCGCTTCGGTCCAATCAATCGACGCGAAAATCTATAATTCAATGTTTTTTTTAAATAACTAAAATATAAATATGAATATATATATATATATGCATAAGTTCTGATCATATTTTCATGTTTTTGTTATTATTGTTTTTCTCTAGTGTTAACCCTACGCATTTCGATACATCACTGGTGCATAGAGCGCGTTATTTCATTATTAAATCAGATTATGCATATAATGTCCAACAATCAATGAAATATGGTGTCTGGTGTTCAACACGTACTGGTAATCAGTGTCTGGATGAAGCCTTTCGATCTGTACGTGGTTCCTCCGTGGCTACTAATACTTCCACAACAACTACTACTACTACGACTACCGCTGCAACGTCAACAACACTCACGTCTACAACTAATGGTAACAGTAGAGAAAGTAATACCAGTGATAGTGCCAGTGGAGGCGACGCCGGCAGTGGGACTAATAAAGGTGATGGTGATAATGCTGATGAATCGACTTTGAAGGGATCTGAAGCCGAAAAACCTACCACCATTAGTACTACTATTGGTAATACAAATAATAATAATGATAATAATAGTGGTAATAAGTCAGATCCGACTAATGATGATGATCAGTTCACAGAGGATGTGAGTTCAAAGTACAATTTTGCTGATTTTTATTTGTTAATCATGCTTCTTAAAATGATCTCTGTGATATAATTAATATTATACATGTATATATGAATATCTATATACAAGAGTTTATTTGAAATATGGATTTTATTATCAAGCGAAATTATTAGAGTTAGCTGTAATTGTAATTGATTTTTCGCTTCAAGTCATGCATTGATGAAATTGCAACACTACGGCGGATCATTATTGAACAGAGCTAGCTTGGAATGGTAGTCAGCTCTCTAACTCACTCAACTGGATTGACTTTGAAAAGGCTTTCGACAGTGTTGATCAAGAAGTGATTTGGCAACTACTCCACTACTACCAAGGGGTGCCACCAACAATTATACACCTCATCCAAGTAATCCACAACGGTAAAACTCACGCAATCCTTCGAAAAAGTGAAGACGGGAGTAAGACAAGGCTGGCTGGCTGGCTGCCTACTATCTCCAATGATTTTCCTGATCGAGGGCGGTAGACTGGATAATGTGACAGACAGACAGCTGGCAGTGAGGAAACAGGCATAAAATGGACCCACACAAACAGCTAGGAGGATCTGGACTTCGCCGATTATATGTGTCTGATTTCCCACAAAATTGGAAGATATGATGGAGAAAAGCAACAAGTTGGCAGAAGAAGCATCAGAGAATATAGGACTTCATGTGAATATACAGAAAACAGAGGTGATGAAGATTCCTGGCCAGCAACAACAACAACAATCAGCATAAATAGGAAAAATCTGAAAAAAGCAACCTCACTAACCTACCCACCCACCTACCTACCTGGGGAGCCGGTCAGAAAAGATCAGCAACAGGGAGCGATCTCTGGTAATGAGCGAACCAACCTAACAGGAACCAACTATGCAACAAATAAGCAGGAAGAAATGGAGGTGGATTGGTGGCCATACTCTGAGATAACAAACCATCAAGTGAGTGACATCACACGCCAGGCTGTCTCTCTGGAATGGAACCCGAATGGGAACCGGCGTGTCAGTTGATCGTCAGTGTTAGGGTGACATGGAGGAGGAGGAGGTGATGTGAAGAGGAGATGAAACGTTGGCAGAGAACGGAACTCCACGCAGACGTTCGCCTGAAGCCATGTGTTCCTCTAGAGGATCTAAAGGAAACAAGCCTCACGCCTAACCTTCCCTTTTCATCACCAGCTGTACTCGCTTCTGGCTAAGTGAGGTAAACGATTGCCTCGGCTGGGAATCGAACCCTAGACCATGTGAGGCGTGGTTTGTGAGCATTCTACCGCTAAAGTAACTATTGAAAATTAACCAGACGCTCACACTAATACATGGCTAATTCGTCTGGAGCCCAATTAAGAAGCATTGAAATTAGCATGAAAGTTGTGTCTGTATGTGATTGAGGGGACCTTACTTTACACTCTGTAAATTGTCTGTCTGTACATATGTTTATACACATTTTTAGTAAGATTATTCAGTCTACAATAAAATGAATAATAATTCAGACAGTAATTTACTCTTCATATTCCAACGTGTCGGCTCTTCACACACACACATACATACATGCATACACGTAAGCAAGGCATACAAACGCATCTATGGTAGGTAACATATGTAGCATTCGATCATGTCTAGTCGTGTTATGCAACAGGTTTTTGAAACAACTGTGAAATGTTCTTCTTCGTTATCAAAATAATAATACACTAAAATTGAAATGCTTACTTTTTTTAGCTGTAAACACAGTAAGTAAATTATCTAACTACTGAAAGTAATCAATTATAAGTAGTATTATCTATCTATAATTATCAATCGAACAGAAGATACTTGTAGTTTGTGTGTGTGTTTTTCCACTCCTTACCGTCTGAGTGACACACACGCGCCATCCAGTTGTGAAGTTTGAGGAACTGTAGTGTTGTTTTTAGTTTTATGGAGTGGGCGATGTCAGCACATTTTCGGGATAGCTCTATCAGTTTTGATAAACTTAATATTATCATTCTCTTGGGTTCCAATTGGAACATAAGACTTCCCTATAGTTGGTTTGTAAGGGTTAGTTTTGTATTAACGAGTTGATCACGGATTGATATCACAGTTAGAGAACCATTGAAAATCAGCAGGAAGTACTGGACAGCTGTTCCCTACGTCCTAGTTTGGGAATCATTGGCAGTACAAACCCACACACACCGAGGGTTCGAACCCAGGACCTTCAGGTTACAAGGCAAACTAGCTCGTATACCACTCAGCCACTGGGCCCCGATTCATTGGCCAGTCCATGAATCCTAACTTCTACCAATTCGTGATGAGTTTAGCGGGACCACCAACCAATGTCATCTGTGGGAACTCCATCCTCACTCCCAACTGCCGATGATTCCCAAACTAGTCTGAAGAAACAGCTGTCCAGTACTCCCTGGTTTTCAATGGTTCTCTAGGTGATAACAATCCGTGATCCCTACAAACCAACTATAGAAAATTAATCTGATGCTCTCTAGTGACTTGCTACAGGATGGAGTGTCCTGGAGTTCTAGTGAGAAGTCGTGACCAGTGAGGTGAAGTCCAACCTGTCAAGTGTGAAGATGGATTTCCCACCGATGACATTCGTTGGCGGTCGCGCTAAATCACGAATTGGTGGAAGTCAGAATTCATGGGTTGGCCAATGAATTGGGTCCCAGTGACTGAATGTTATGCGAGCCAGCTTGCCTTGTAACCGGAAGGCCCTGGGTTTGAACCCTGGGTGTGGGTATGTGCTGCTGATGAGTCCTAAACTAGGATGAAGAAACAGCCGTCCAGTATTCCCTGGTTTTCATTGGTTCTGTAACTGATATCAGTCCGTGATCAACTCGTAAAAACATAAGGCTTCACTGGTATATCTCTGTTTCATCCTGCACCCAGCAGTCCTCTCCATCTGATTCCATGATTAGCCATAAACTCTTATGTACTGCTCCTCACACGTTCCCCTCGATGTCACCCACGACGCGCTGCCCAATTCGTCGTTTCCCACTCGCTTTCCACTTGAGAGTCACTTTGGCTCACTATATCACTCAACGGTCGATCATTTCCTACAGCATATTTGTTGAGCAGTTGGTTCGTTCCCAGAGTTTCTTGTTGTTGATTCTCTGTGGCCATCTGATCTTCAGTACGGAGAGAAGATAGCTGTTGATGAAAGTCTGTGCAACCTGTTGGAATTACTTTTCGTGACCCGCTGGCGCTAAATTTCTGGCTCATTTAGAAGAACTGATTGACTTAACATTGGTGTTGAAAGTCTGAATTGCATTCCTTATGCTGTTTGCAGTAGGCTGTTTCCAAACTGACTTCAGAGTGATGAAGGTATGCCTTGCCTTTCCCATCCTCGCTTTGACATTTTCATATGTGCAGCGTGTAAACGAAACGGTGCTGCTCAGATAAGTAAAGTGAGTGGTGGTGAGAGCTGACTGCGGACAAGCTGAAATTGTAGACAACAATTTACGTCAATGTTACATCCCGATTCAGGGTCATGAGAAAATTAAAATAAACAAAGCTTAACCTTGGGAAAATCACCAGCCAATCACAGAAGACTTAACGTATGCAACTACGATTCGTAGATAGATGCCCTAACTTTCTAAGAAGCGGTCACACAGAGATAACAAAATAACCTTCATCAAGAAAACAACCAACCAGAAGACGTTGCTTCCCGCTAATAATAATGTACATACAAAAATCTATAAATATCTCTTGATTCTCTCAATAAACGATCTGTTTCCTGGCTCTTGTCTTCTGTCGTTACAAAGGAAGTGATCTCTTTCAAATTTCTGCTGTTGATAGTGATTGGTGATGGTCGTTGTTGTTTTTGTTGGTTTTCTGCATCACTTCTCTGTGTTCACTTAAAGTTCCATCCTTTCTGCTTAACTCTTTTGCCCACTTGTTGGTTTTTACCTGTAAGCCTTCTTTTTTGTGTGACACTAAACATAAATCGTCCGCACGATCCAAATCTTCCAGAGTCTTCTTACTGGTCCAACGTATTTCTGTCTTCTGAGTCCCCTCTGGCCTTAGTAAACTAGGCGGGGTTTAAGAATGCGTCGACTGGGATTCGATTCAGGCCTTACCACTTTGCTGGTGGACATCCTACCATTGAAAACCTAACTCTCGACTGGATTTAAAACCAATAGCCTGGAGATTACTAGCGCAAAGTTGTGTCAGCTGGCGAAAGAGACCCAACTGTGCTAATTAGGTTATCATTACGCTACAGTCTAGCCGTTACGTGAATGAATGATAGTTTATTGTCCCTGAGTTTATGCATCATACTGACTCTCAGACAGTTATAAAGTACAGTTATCAGTTATAAAGTACAACTGCTATGTGGTATGATATAATGTTACTTCACGATACACGTATATGAATTAATTTCAAGTGTAAGCAGTGAGAAGTATTGAAATTAGCATGAAAGTTGTGTCTGTATGTGCGTGTGTGTGTGTTTGTGTTTGTACGTATTCATAAGTGATTGAGGGGACCTTACTTTACACTCCCGAAAACTGTCTGTCTGTACATGTGTTTATATATATATTTTTAGTAAGATTATTCAGTCTACAATAAAATGAATAATAATTCAGACAGTAAGTAATTTACTCTTCATATTCCAACGTGTGTCGGCTCTTCACAATAACAACTCTCAAGTATGAAGATGGATTACCCACTGATGACATTGGTTGGTGCCGGTCGCGCTAAGCTCATCACGAATTGGTAGAAGTTAGGATTCATGGACTGGCCATTGAGGAGGTTGGTCCCAGTGGTTGAAAGGTATACGAGCTAGCTTGCCTTGTAACCGGAAGGTCCTGGGTGTGGGTGCGTACTGCCGATGATTCCCAAACTAGACTGACAAAACAGCTGTTCAGTACTCCTGCCTGGTTTTCAGTCGTTCTCTAAGTGATATCAATAAGTATCAATATTAGACGCTTATCAGATTTAAAACAGTTCAGTTTGTGGACCTTTCATTGTCCTAGTGGACGAGATCTTCAACTCCAATTTCCATATGAAGTAGATATCTGTAGAATACTTGAACGGACTAGATTGACCCGTATCTCTTAAAACATAATGACTTCTTCATGAATACATTTTGAGAGAAGATCAACATAAAACGCATACTACAAGCGGTTTTCTAAAGGGTTCCTTTCCATGAGAAACCAATTTCTTGTTTTCATTTTGGTTGATGGTAACTAGCATTAGAATCTAAGATAAGCACTTCGTCCTGTTTGAGATTCGTCATGTAGGTATATATCCACATTCTTAGTGAGTTTTGGAGTCTCCATTGCGAATCAAATTCTACATTCATTGTTTTTAAACCCTAAAGCATTATCCGTCAGACCACAACAGCCACATGTCAATACCGACCGAGCATTTCTGTTAGACATAATCACCGATAGCCACTGCACATGAGATGTCTTTCGTAGGCCCTACTGGCTTTGTGCATAATACTTTAGCGTTTTAAAGAATATGTGGGGGAACAGCATTCACTCACTAAGAATGCAGTCATATCCAGATGACAAGTCCCCCCCTCCCGCATGATTCGACTGCTGGTCATCTCCATTCAAAATAACTTCGTGTTAATTAACTCAGACATTCTTGAAGCATCATACCAGAAGCCGATATATAAATACATGTATATGGTGAGAGCTAGCTGCAAACCGAAAACTGTAGTCAGTAATTTACGTCAATGTTACATCCTGGTTCAGGGTCATGAGAAAAACAATAACAAAGCTTAACCTTGAGGAACTCACCAACTAATCACAGCAGACTTAACTTGTGCCACCTGAATTCACAGGTATATGGCTTAGCTTTCTAAGAAACGGTTACGAGCAGTACAGAATAACTTTCAGCAAGAAAACAACCAATCAGAGGACTTTGCTTCTTTTCCGCTAATAACAATGCACACAAAAATCTATAAATGCCTATCGATTTTCTCAATAAACGATCTGTTGCCTAGCCCTTGTCTTCTGTCTTTACATATATATCAATTAAGACTGAGGATTTCCGTCCATTGTAGTCAATTATCCTTCATCCACAGCTGTCTTCGTTCTATACTGAAGATCAGATGGCCGGAAAGAATCACCACCAAAGAACTATGGGAACAAACAAAACAAGAACCAATCGCTCAACAAATATGCAGGAGAAAGTGGAGATGGACTGGACACTCGTTGAGGAGGCCGCTGGGCGATATCGGGCGTCAGTCCATCGAGTGGAATCCGAAAGGGAAGCGGCGAGTGGGACGTCAGTGCAAGGGTGACATGGAGGAGATCGTGTGAAGAGGAGTTGAAACAGTATGGACTAACATGGCTGCAGGTGAAAAGTACAGCATAAGACAGAAGCAAGTGGAGACGTGCAGTTGAAGCTCAATGTTCCACTAGGAACCCAAGGGAACAATAATAATAAATAAAAGTAATCAATCAATGGGAAAAGATAAAATTAACCATGAGAATAAATAATTTTCTTGTTTTCTTTATTATAAAAGTGTATTATTTTTGTAAGAAGAAATTCGAACAATTTTTATGCTTTGTCTACTTCTTACTCGGCGCCCAGTTGTTTGGGAACTATTGGGTCAAATCTTGATTGCAGCATATATATGAATCTTTGAATATTTTGATTTTGTCTTGGTATTCATTATTAGACTGTGTATTTACCAAAACAAAAAATCAACAAAATCGATGACACATTTAGTGATATTCAATGTTTTTTTCGAGTTAGAGAACCATTGAAAACTAGTAAACCTAGTTTTGAACTTATTGGCAGTACGCAAACACTGGGTTTCGAACCCAGGACCTTCCGGTTACGAAGCAAGCCACTGGACGGAGTTTCATGGAGTTCTAGTGCGAAGTCGTGACCACTGAGGTCCATCCAGATGTCACGTGTGAGGATGGAGTTCCCATAGATGAAATTGTTTGGAGTTCGCGCTAAAAATCACGAATTGGTAGAAGTTAGAATTCATGGGTTGGCTATTGAGGAGTCGGGTTCCAGTGGCTGAATGGTATACGAGCTAGCTAGCCTTGTAACCGGAAGGTCCTGGGTTCAAACCCTGGGTGTGTGTGGGTACGTACTGCGGATGATTCCCAAACTAGGATGTAGGGAACAGCTGTCCTGTACTCCCTGTGGCTGATTTTCAGTGGTTCTCTAACGGTGATACCAATTCGTGGTCAAACTCGTAAAAATACATTTATTATAGATAGGATTGGCTTTAGTAACTAGAATAAAGCATAGTGAGACAGAATGATACAATTATAGCAGACTACCATTATATTTTTTAGCACCACTATTTTTTGCTTAATCACTCTCTACAACACCTCCACATACATTCATCCACCTAGCCACCTACACATAATAATAATTATTACCGAGTATTTCTGTCATTTTGACCAACCGTTTTAATTACTACTATTGCTGAAACTATGGTGGAAACACACACGCACACACACACATACAAACATACAAACACGATTTTCTTTTTACTATTAATAAAATGAATTATTATTACTATTTAACTAATTTTAGACTGACCAATTTTGTTTCATTTTTGCTAAATTTATCACCCTCAAAATGATTTGTACTTGCATTCTGAGTTGAATGATGACTGAGGATGATTGACTGACTTCAGCGACTCAGGGATTGACTTGTTACTTGTCAGGGGATAATAGTCTCGTTGATTTAGAATATGCAGATGGTGATATAGTCTTCTGAACATCGTGAGCTGTGCAGCAGTCTTCGATTATTTGGCATGCGATTCGCTCTCGCTGTCAAATGTAAGATGATGATGTTACAACAGGAGTAAACTGGATTACATCGACTCACTTCTAGCATGAAGATAGACAGGAGTGAAGTGGTTGGTGAGGCGTGCTAACCACTTCAATCACTTATTTGGGAAGCTGCATCAACCAACGCCGGCGGGTCGATCGCTGACGAAATCTCAGCACGGTTACAGAAGGCTCGTTTGGCATATGTCAGTTTACGCTGTCTCTGGCGTAGACGTGATATCTGGCTGGTTGTCGACCAAAGGACTTGTGTACTGCTCAGCAGTCCGCTCCGTCCCCCTCCTTTATGGCTATGAAACCTGGCCATTGTAAGCGGAAGACATGAAAAGGCCGGCTAGCTGTCTTCAATCATAGGTGCCTGTGTTCTATCTCCCGTGTGAAGTGGCATAATAGGGTGAGCAATACTGAGATGAGGCATCGGTCGAGTGCTATGTAAGGAGGGGAAATCAAACGACGAGGCTGTGAAGTTACGTCGACTTAGCTGGGAAGCATTCAACCACTTGTTTTCAAATAAGGCCGTAGACACTTAACTTTTTCCTTTGATACTGTCAACTGTAATGTGGTGAGAGCTGTCTGCAAGCCAAAATTGTAGACAACATTTTACGTCAATGTTTACTTCCCAAATCGGGGTAATGAAAAAAGCGGTAACAAAGGTTAACCTTGAGGAACTCACCTACGAATCACAACAGACTTGACGTGTGCAAATAGGATTGATTCGCAGATATATGGCTTAACTTTCCGAGAAACGGATACAAAGAGATAACAGAATTACCTTCAGCAAGAAAACAACCAATCAGAAGACATTGGTTCCCACTAACAATAACACCAATAATAATGTACATAAAAATCTATAAATGCCCCTTGATTTTCTCAATGAACAATCTGTTGCCTAGCCCTTGTCTTCTGTCGTTACAGTAATAAGCCAGTTCATACACTTCAAGTACCAGTTTCATTCTTTAGCCTTATGAATAAGAGACAGAGAAGGAGGGGAAGAAGTCGAAGAACTCTAGACTAAATACTTTTGTTGTGTTTGATATGATAACTATCAAGATTATCAGGTAGTTAGTTACACGTTTCATCACTAGTTGATGTTATTAGTTAGGGAACCATTGGAAAACCAGGCAGTACTGCACAGTTGTTTCATCCTAGTTTGAGACTCTTCTGCAGTCTGCACACACCGGACTCAAATCCACGACCTCCTGGTCAGAAGGGGAGCTCGTAGATGCAATAGCCCATGAATTCCAACTTCTGCCAGTTCGGGGTATTTATTCCAACCGGCAGTCAATATGATTGCCCCACTGGTTAAAGACTTCTCACTGGAACTCCAGGTAGCTTTGTGTATAGAGTCAGTCGGAAGGATTTGATTGATTGCAGATTTGATCGATAGCTGATGATATCAGTTAGCGAACCATTTGAAAAGTTGTCTGTTGTTTATATTTATTTTAGCACTTCATAATTCTTTCTTTCCTTCTTTGTGTTCTGAATCTTTTAAAAATCTAGTCATCTGTTGTTTCTGGAGCTCTTGCCGCTGTCTCCAGTACTGCTCCTTCAAGTCCTACTGCTACCACTACAACTACCAGTACAGGTAACAAAGGGAAATCGGATGTGACTAATACATCGAAAACAAAAAGCAATAACACCGATTCTAATAAATCCCTGACGATGACAACAACAACAAATGACCAAACCACATCAAAGTCTAAAAAGTCCTCGTCAACAGCATCCAACTGTAAGAGCAATGTTAACAACAACACCAGCAACACGACACAACAACACAATGCATCTACACCTGGACATATTATTCTCTTCTTTTCAGTCCGTGAATCTGGTTATCTCAGTGGTGTAGCGGAAATGGTTAGCCCAGTGAATCCACAGAAACGTTCTACAATTTGGCAAGATTTACGATTTAGAGGAGAATTTGCTGTTCGATGGTTGTACATAAAAGTTAGTTCAATGTCAATTTGTTTTTTTGTTTTATTTTGTTTTGTTTTTGTTTTTCTTCTGTTTACAATGTTCTCTTATGCTTTAAACCTCTTCGTATTAATCAGTGTTGACGGCATATTGGTATTGTTCGAACTGGTTTGTTGAACAGACAGTGACTAACTGTTGATTAATAGATTTGAACCCCCTAACCTAACATAAAAGTAGAGGTATGTTGATTCAGGTTAAGCGAACGTCTGTCTGTCTGCCTGTTTTCGACATAGAACTTTGCACCGATGTGTAGAAGTTCAAGTCGCCACACTCCATGTAGCACACAAAGCAAGAGAAAAAAGTAGAAGAAATGCATAATATAGACAGTAAACAGAGGTGTGAGACAAAGGAATAGTAATAACGGAGAACAAAACAGTTTCATTGGAAATCATAAGTCACAAGGAGTGGATGCATCTGCGCCAGGCATTGAGAACGATTTTGAGCCATATCACCAATTGTTTCCAGCCATTGGTTTTAAGCGTCCCAAAGACACCAACCAGGAAGTCTACACCATCCTACATGGCTGGCTTAAACTAACTGTTGTGGATTTCATTGACTGATGAGGCTATGTTTTGGTTTGACCACCGCTAGCCTTTTTCCAGCTTGACCCTATATCAGCTAACATTGTCCGTCGAAGAAGCCAATGACTAGGCATACGTAACACATGTCCGAACCATCTCAGTCGGTGTAATTTCACAGCCTCGTCAATTGATTTCCCGTCCCACCTACCTAGCACTCGACACCTAACCGACTCAGTATTGCTCACCCTATTATACCACTTCACACGGGGGATATAACGCAGGCACCGATGATTAAAGACAGCTAGCTTACCTTTTCATGTCTTCCACTTTCAATGGCCCTCATATTTCAAAGCCATAAAGGAGGAGGACGGAGCGGACTTCTGAGTAGTACACACGCCCTTCGATCGACAGCGAGCCGGATATCACATCTACGCCAGAGATGGAGTAAGTTAGCGTATGCCAAACGAGCCTTCTGTATTCGTACTGAGATTTCATCAGTGATCAACCCGCTGGTGTTGGCTGATGCAACTTCCCAAATAATTGAAACGGTCAACGTGCTCTACCACTTCACTCCCTATTTCTAAACTGGGAATCAGTGTGGTCCAGTCAGTCCCATAGCATCATCTGACATTTGGCTGGAGCGAATTGCATGTCAAACATTGGTAGATTGCAGCTCAAGGTGAAGCATAAGACTCTGAATTTTGTCAGCGTCCTCACCTAGAAGGACTGTATCATCATCTGCATATTCTAAGTCAACGAGGCAACCGGGACGGATTATAATGTCAAAACCAGCCAGGATTGAAAAGTTAAGGTAGACCTTCATGACTCTGAAATGAGTTTCGAAATTTGTCGCACTCAGGAGAAACAACAAGATTTGAATTTTCAATACCAATGTCAAGTCAGTTAGTCAATGCTTCCTTCCATATGGGTCAGAAACTTGGCTTTCGCGTTCCGAAAAGCATTCATAACAGACTACAAACTTTTATCGACAGCTGCCTTTGCTTTTTTTTTCCTTCACGTTCCCAGCGGAACATAGGGCTTCAAGCTAGTGGCTCGAAGTTTCTGTAGTAGTGTTTATTTTACAGGATGGAGTTGCTAGCCAGCCTCATGCCCAACCTTTCCTCTTCACCAGCATTATTTCTGGCTTAGCGAGGTAAAGGAGTGCGTCGGCCGGGGATCGAACCCCGGACCATGTGCATGGTCGGCGAGCGTCCTAACCACTATGCCACCGACGCACTTTGCTACCTTTACTGAAGATCAAATCATCAGTCAGAAAGAATTAGGCAACAAAAGACTATGCGAACGAACCAATCAACAACCTATTGATTAATAAATATACCGAGAAAAATGTAGATGGATTGGACGTATGCTTAGGAAACTGTCGAGTAGCATAGCACGCCAAGCCCTCGATCGGAACCCGAATGGGCGTCCGAGGGTGAAATGGAGGAAATCGTGGGGCCAGACGATGAGGACTTAAGGGAACAGGACAAAATTACGACGTGCTGTTGAAGCCGTATGTTCCACTCGAAACCCATAGGAAGAATAAATATGAATATAGAAGTGTCGCTTTGTAGGTATTGGGCTGATTGGTTACAGGGTTCCATCATGAGCTGACATCAGTTAGAGAACCATTAGAAAACCTGGGAGTACTGGACAGCTGTTTCATCCTAGTTTGGGACTCTTCATTAGTACGCACTCACCGGGGTTAGAACCCAGGTCCTTCTGGTTACAAGGTGAGCTCGTAGACCATGGTTCTCTAACTAATGTCAGCTCAACCAAATCCCTACAAACCAATACTTGAATATCAATGAGATGCTCACTGGCGACTGGCCCTATTCAGTTACCTGGGGTTCTGGTGGGAAGTCGTGACCAGTAGGGTGCAATAGGTCAGGTGTGAGGGCAAATGCTCACCAGCGAAGACATTGGCAAGCGGTTGCGCTATATCGTGAATTTGCAGAAGTTAGAATTCATGGACTGGCCATTGGATCGGGTTTCAGTGGCTTAATTGTCTACGAGCTCGCTAGCCTTGTAACCAGAATGTCCTAGGTTTGAACCCTGTCGGTGGTGGGTGCGTACTGGTGAAGAGTTCCAAACTAGGACGAAACAGCTGGCTGTCCAGTATTCCTTGGTGGTTTTCCAATGGTTTTCTAACCAATATCAGCTCATGATGAAATCCTGTAACCAAATACTAATCTATTTAGAAAAAATCTGCGCAATAATCGATTGTTGCATAAGTTGACTGACCTCTGTGTGTGTGTACACACACATTAAATATAGGAAAAAATATACACGTTGTTGGACATATAATGTCTTAAATCAGTTCTCTGAAAAGGAAGAAGGTGGTGCATGCCTACAGTGTTAAAGATTTTTGACACCTGACTAGTTAGTGTTTTATTTGTTGTTAATCGTGTGTGTGAGTGTTTGTGTGTGCGTGCGTGCGTACGTGCGTTTGAATGATTGACCGATTGATTGATTGATTGATTAGTTTTTTCTTGTTTTCTTCACGTTTTTTCTTTGTCTTCAACTAAATTGTCCATTAAAGTGATCGGTTCCACCTCATTGGATTGCTTATATTTTTTTAAAAAAAAGTTGCTTTCCGTTTGCTTGTCGTCCTTATACCTTTTCATACAACACATTGGATAGGTATACAAACTTTTGTACATTATCCTAATAACAGGATTAATGCAGGTCATACATCCTGTTACATCCACCTGCATACACCGTGTCTCTATAAATGTGCATGTTTGTGTTTGTGTCATTGTATCTACTCCATTATTATGGATAAGATTTTATTTTGATAAAGTCACACTCAGTGTTTGTTATACAGTAATATCTACTGATGATGACAAGGTTTCGAGGACAATTTATTACTACTGCTCATCGTCATTATATCAAGGTACTCACTCACACAACTTTCCTGTTTCATTTATATACATGAGTAAACATTGATGAGTGGACATTAGAATAAAGTCAATATAAGATAAAGTACATTCAGAAATAATAACATGAGTGTTATCAATCAAATACAATCAGATGGGAATAAAGATGTTTTTATAGTAAAATAAATAAATAAGTTGTTAGAACGTTATAACGTGAATTGAATTGAATACATTTTAACATTATTTATTATCCTCCTCTGATTTGACTGGTGGTAATAATATTTTCCATAAATATCTCTGGTATTTACGTTGAGTCATTTCTGTTCCATGTTTTGGGTGTAGATTATTCGATGAACCAGGATTCAGCAGTCAACGTGTGTTTCTCTCCACCTACTTATATTACTCTTTAGAATTTTGACTCTGTGTCATCTACCCTATTCTGTGGTTATGTGTTAATTTATGCAGTGGGATTGCTGAGCTTCTTTTTTCTAAATTACTTATCTTCGTGGGTGGGATGAATCATTCTAACCTGAGTTAAATTCTTATTTTCTGATAATCTCACTACTCCAGATCTACTAGTTTGACCATGTAGTTGACCTGAGTCACAGTCATTGGAAGGTATTTTGTAAATTATATTATTTTGAAAACAGAAAGATTTAGCGAAGAAATATTTACTTTTCTAAATGTCTAAATGGGGATTTTTTATGTTATTTTGTTTAATTGGGACCACCGGGTACTTTAGCCTACAGAGCTTGTCGCTGAGTGAGTCTGTCGGTTTGAATACCACCGTAATTCCTGCTTTATTGAGAATCCTACGTATTGGGGGGGGGGTCTCAGATGTCCCCTCCTTATTTGGTAAAACTACTGTGGATGCCTTATATTCTTTCTTATTTTTGTTATCATTATTAGTTTCACCACTATTTTTTATTTTACTTTTCACCTATTTTGATATTCCTAATGAATTTTATAAGATATTTAGTTATTTACCACCAACGCTTCTTCTTCACTCTGTTTCATTTCAAGTGTCTAATCAATTTTTACTCATGTATATGAATGAAGCAAGAAATCTGTATGAGTGATATGTGAGCACCTTGATATGATTATGAGCAGTAGTAATAAATTGTCCTCGAAACGTGGTAATCATCAGTATTATTATTATTATTGTATCCTTTAATTCCTACAGGAACATAGGGCTTCAGCCGTGCATCTCCATTGCGTTCTGTTCTCTGCTAGGGTCTTCACCTGGCTCCAAGTCTGCCCACACGTTTTCATCTCCTCTTCACATGACCTCCTCCAAGTCACCCTCACACTGACGACCAACTCGCCGCTTCCCTTTCGGGTTCCACTCTAGCAATGGCTTGTCTAATGATGTCACTTGATGGTTTCCTCAGAGTATGGCCAGTCCATCTCCATTTCTTCCTACCTATTTGTTTCACAATCGGTTCCTGGTTGGTTCGTTCCCAAAGATCCCTGTTGCTGATCTTTTCTGGCTGGCCATCTGATCTTTAGTATTGAGCGAAGACAACTATTAATGAAGGTCTGTAGTTTGTTTGAGATGCTCTTTATGACGCGC